TAGCCGCCCTGTGCGCCACAAGGACGGCATCTCCTCAGGGAGCGGAAGCAACAGCCGCCATCCGTCGCAGGCCGCAGCAGCCCCCAGCAGCATGGCACCGGGCTTCGACCGGACCCTGTCCAGCCGTGTAGCTCAGCTGTAGGGGCAGATGGTCGGAGAGGAACGTTAGGCCGGGGTCAATCACATTATCGTTCAGGGGTCGGGAACGTAGGCAGGTACAAACTGTTACGATGCTGGGGTATTTAAAGAATTGGAAAGAAAACTTGAGTAGCGTAGTGTTGAATGGCCATTGTAAATCTGTATATGAATTCATGTATGAATAAATATGTATACCTATATCGATGAACTAACAATACATACATGCTAAACGGAGTGCAATGCTAATCCCGTTTATGATTAACACTAGACATAATGTGTTTGGCACATTGTGTCATGAACTCACAATGCTTGGGTTCTTTTCCATTGAGTCGAGGCACTTAATTGGGCATAACATTATAAAATTAGGATGGTTGGTTTTTGTTAACTTACTTTGATTCATATGTGTCAACTATTTATAAAATGATCTTCACTTGATGCAGATGTTAAGTCTCTGACAGCTCAGCCTCATAATGTGGTTTTACTGAGATTAAATACGCCCAAAATCTCAGTCCTTTTGGGTTCTGCTCCAGGCTCAAATCCAACCAAACACATCACCCTGCCAAGTCTGGTGCCACCTCTGCGCCGGCCACTGGCGGATCCAGACTTGCGTTTTGGGGGGGGGGGCCAACTCCTGCAAGTAACCAAACCTAGGGTACCCCCAAATCCTGTTTTCTCATCGGATTTAGGCCACTTATTTTTTCGTCACAGCCCTGAAACGATATTTTTTTAAACTAAAAATAAAAAATATAGAAATGGTAGCCCACCCAACCCGAGCCTAAATACTACTTTGAAAACACTTCAAATTGCTTTTGTCGACCAATTAGCCCGCTCCAGGTCGGTGCGTGGCGCAGCCTTCGCGGGCTGGGAGGTGTCGGTTGGACCCCCTGCCGTTCGGCCCCTGATTAAGCTAGAGCTCGCGAAAAAAAAAAAACAGGCGTGTTGCCCGTGAGTGACGAGACGAAGCCGATGATACCCGATTTTAAGGTCCTTGGTCATTGGTTGACCTTCCAGGGCGGTGTTTCACGGTCGTGCTGACAGCCGCTGACAGCGCATTCTGCGAGCTAAGGTCAGCCTTCGGTAGTGTTGTGGGTATAAGCTTGTTGATGTCTCCATTGAAACCAAAAGTGCCATCAGCGCTGGCAGCGGCTGGCAGCGTGCCGTGAAACACCGCCCAGGTCAGGTCACAGACCCAAAAGACGGGAAAATCAGGACCTGTCAGAACCTCCTAAAGTAAGGCTGTAATACGTTTTTTTGTGCTGATCACAAATTTCATGTTAGTTTGGATCATAGATAATGTCTTCATGCGTTTAGGCCATGTCGGGGCAGGTCAGGTCAGATCAACCAGTAGGGGTACTTATGGGCGTCCGTATAGCAGGTGTCCACTACCACTGGCAGCTACGTAACATGATACGAAGGCATCAAAACTACTTCGTAAATGTTCAAATGGCTGCAAAATGCTAAATTCAAAATCAGCTAAACGAAACTATCCTAGAAACATGTTAAACTCGGAAAAGTGCACCGAGGTCATCAAAGGTCAATGACCTGACTTGACCGTAAGGTGACATTGGCATCCGCCCTAATGCGTGGGAGCAACATCATATCACATGTTTGAGCGTTTTAAACCACGAAAAGACTATAAAAGCGCGGATAATGTGAGCCGACATACGCCGAATCGCTATTCCGGCCAAACATGGCCTCCAACATGGCCAAACAGTCTCGAGAAATAGGCCACAAGTCAAAGTTCACTTGGGTCAGGGTCATGAAATTTTCAGAATTTGTCACCATGAGGGTACTAAAGTTTCGTCGCGATCGGCTTCATGATACCTTACACGATAACTTCACACGTCGATCGAGAGTTAAAGCATGGATGAAGGAGAACCTGGGGATGAAGGTTCTTTCATCCATGGTTAAAGTGTGCAATAAGAACTTCTTGGGTGAAGACAAGACCAACACTTTTATCAAGCTCACAGATTTTTAATGATACGGTATTTTCTCTACCTACTACGCCCTTCTCACATTCATTTTTCTTAAGTGTTTTTGGGGACAAAAATATATGTTGTTCCCCTTTCAGGCTTGGGGGCATGACCCCGTGGCCCCCCTGGATCCGCTAGGCCGAAACTAACTAGGTCGTTTTCAAACGGTCTGATATTTCAGGTCATAGTTTGCAAACGGCCGGTGTTTTCAGGTAGTTTCATATGGCCTGACTGGGCCAGGCCGTTTGCAAACGGACCGAATTTTCATGCGGCCTGTAACATATATTCAGATTTCGACATCTGTCGTAGCATCAAATGCTGATGTGGCGCACTCAAAAGCCGGAATTGGTCCTTGGATGCCGTAAGGACCCTTTTAAGAAATAAGTGACCCGACTGACCCTTAGAGATTGGCCTGAGCTGTGACCGAAATAAGTCTTTTACCGTTTCGCAGGAAGGGACAAAAAGGTCCCTCATATGCTTCTTGTGCAATTACGAAACAAAACAATTTTTTCAACGAAAACTCAGTGAGTTTTCCTAAAAAAATTATTGCGCATATTTCGTGAATGAAAAGTTGCGGGTCATGTCAGGTCAGGCTGCCACAGCAAGTTTGTTAACTTGACAGCTCAATCGATATTTATGCAATAAGACCTTCTCGGGTGACGATAAGACATGACGACACTTTATGAAGGAAGCTAGTAAAGTAAACCCGGTAGTTTCTCCATAGGCGCGGGAACCGGGGGAGGGGGCAGTGGTGGCAGCTTGCCCCCCCCCCCCCCAACTCTGGGGCCGTGCGGGCGGTGCCCCCACAACTTTCAGACAGAATACCGCTCCTTTTTGCAAATGTTTTCTTTTTTTTGTTGAAAAAGCCAAGGGATGAAAAATAAGCGGCCTAAAACCGGCGAGAAAACTATATTTGGGGGATCCTAGGTTGATCTCTATCATGGTGTGACCCCCCCCCCCCCGTCTAAAAGTAGTTCCCGCGCCCCTGAGTTTCTCTACGCTATTGAATCACGCTGCTGATTCTAGTAAGTATCTACTACACAACCTTCTCACATTAATTTTTCTTCGAGCGTTTTGGGGGGCCAAAAGATATGTTGGCCCCCTCTTTCAGGCTTTTTGGGCCCATGGCCCCGGTGGCCCCCTTGAATCCGCCAGTGGGGGCGGTGCCCCCACAACTTTCAGACAGAATACCGCTCCTTTTTGCAAATGTTTTCTTTTTTTGTTGAAAAAGCCAAGGGATGAAAAATAAGCGGCCTAAAACCGGCGAGAAAACTATATTTGGGGGATCCTAGGTTGATCTCTATCATGGTGTGACCTCCCCCCCCCCCCCGTCTAAAAGTAGTTCCCGCGCGCCTGGGTTTCTCTACGCTATTGAATCACGCTGCTGATTCTAGTAAGTATCTACTATACAACCTTCTCACATTAATTTTTCTTCGAGCGTTTTGGGGGGCTAAAAGATATGTTGGCCCCCTCTTTCAGGCTTTTGGGGGGCCATGGCCCCGGTGGCCCCCTGGATCCGCCAGTGGGGGCGGTGCCCCCACAACTTTCAGACGGATTACCGTCCTTTTTTGCAACTGTTTTTTTTTTTTTTGAAAAAGCCAAGGGATGAAAAATAAGTGGCCTAAAACCGGTGAGAAAACTAGATTTGGGGGGACCCTAGGTTGATCTCTATTATGGTGTGCTCCCCCAGTCTGAAAGTAGTTCCCGCGCCCCTGACTTTCTCTACGCTATTGAATCACGCTGCTGATTCTAGTAGGTATTTACTACGCAACCTTCTCACATTAATTTTTCTCCAAGCGTTTTGGGGGGGGGGGCAAAAGATATGTTGGCCCCCCTTTCAGGCTTTTGGGGGGGGGCATGGCCCCGGTGGCCCCCCCCCCCCTGGATCCGCCAGTGGCGCCGGCTTGTTGTGAATCTCGTGTAACAAGACAACTGAAGCTCTCGTGTCGGGACGGGACGGGCGGCTGTCGGGCGGCGCGGCTCCGGAACAGGCCCGTGGCGCGCCTCTGTCCTCCGGGGATTCATCGTAAGCTGTCCGGGCCCGGCGGCAGACTGGCAGAGCTAAACCGAGCAGACACACAGCTCCACGACAGACGGCGAGGAAATGCAGCACGACTCATCAAAAACAGCGCAGGAGGAAATAACATCATGTGATGTGATAGGATGCTGCTGGATGCCACCAATTGTCGTGATAAGTGTGTGCGGAAATATCACGTGAAAGTGATAAATATCTCCAAGTTGTAGAAAAGGAAAAATATTTTTGCATGTTGCGTCATACAAAAAAAAAATTATTTTCAAGATTGCTGCACATAAAGCCTCAATAGCGCAGTACAAATTAAACTTACAAAAAGAAAATAACCTTTTATTACCGTGGTTATACACAGTAGACGGTTATCTATCATAAACAGATGACTGGTTAATATATTTAACCCTAAGCTATGACACACATCGTGCAGTGCACATAATGCATGTACCTATTGAATGCACTTAAATACGCCGGTGCCCTGAGGCCCAACTTTCCCAACTTTCCCACTGCACGGACTGCATCCACTCGCAACTACTTACCGCACTGCCCATCCCCAATTTCAGCCAATTGTTCTTTTCGAATTGTAAATGGGGTTAGGTACTTACCCCACTGTAGCCGGGTTAAAATCGTACCTACCCCACTATAGCCGGTCACAGTCAGTCGTAATTACCCTAATGCATCAGGAATAAACATCATACTTACCCTACTGTAACCCGGGGTAAAAATCGTACTTGGCCCACTCTATTCAGGCCCAGCAAATCGTCCTTACCGGACTGCAGCCGGGATAAAATCGAACTTACCCCACTGCACCCGGGGTAACGGTCGTACTTACCCCACTGTAGCCGCGGTACGGTCGTACTTACGCCACTGTAGCCGGGACCGAGCCAGTCGTACGAGACGACATCCATGGCCACCCACATGCCGGCCTTCAGGATGAACGATACAAACAGGTGCATGTGCAGGTTTGTCCGCGGGCACGACCTCAGCTTCCTGAAAAACGGCGAGACGGGGGCGTCGTCTCAGTTTCACAGAGATATGTGACCAAGAAAACAACTCGTACACGTCGGAATGAGATCGCAATGCAATGATTCATTCAGATTATCAGTGTACAATCCATCAAGACCGGAAGCTGTGCAGTGTACACTACTGCTCTACACTGCCGCCTGTGTGATAATTAAAAATTGAGCAGATGTCAAGAAGGTGCAGGCGGAAAAGTGTAACTGGATGCCTGGCCCTGTCCTTAACATGACAGCACACAGGCTGCTGTCAGTACGGTCTGTCTGTCGCGAATAATAGCACCCTGTCAGCGCCCGCAGGCTCAAGACACCCAAACATTCCCGTCGCCGGAGAGCGAGTGCTGAATAATTTAGTAGCCCTGTTGTTTGCCACGGGACACATCTGACAGACATACACGTAGTGGTCGAAGCCACAGGGTGGACGCGCCGACTTCTTGAACGGCACTGGACAATTCAGTAGGTATGGACCGAGCGTGCACATTACCCCGCTACAGCCGATATCATCGACAGAGAGACAGGAATTATAGGCACAGGACACGGACACGGAAACAATATACAAGAGATTCAACCGCAACTACAGGCACAGATCAACTTGTAAATATAGGACACACTAAAAGAAACTCATCACATATCCAAACAGATGGATAAAGTCAAAGCTATATCCTAATACAGATACATCTTCAACATAGGAAGTTACAGATAGGGCACTTGTTGCGGATACAGACACAACAATTACAGACACCGATATGGAACAGATACGGACAGCAGGCATGGACACAGGCCAATAAAAAATGGCACATATATATAGCTGATACAGACGCAGTCACAGACATTGAAAAAGACAACCATGACTTAGACGACATGCAACTACCGATACACTTACATACACACACTCTCGCAGTTGAATACATCTACCCGCTTTGTCACAGGCTATGAAGCGAGCTCCGTGCAGAGCTGGCGACTCAGTCACCCAGCCACCGTGACTGGTACTCACCGTATGCTGCAGAATATCACCATGGCCATGATGAGAGAAGTGAGCGATATACCGTAGCCGGCCCTGCTGATGTTCTTAATGACGGGAGTCCACACCTGTCGAAAACGTCCAAATGATCAGGCATGGTACCTGCTACTGATCTGTTTTAAGGGCTCTCACATGCACTTAGTGGGACAAGGATGCACAGAGACGTTGCATGCATACCTATTTATGTGTCACTTTTAACACTTCCGTCATCTATAGCCACTCGATAAGGTCAGGTGATATCTTATTAGGTATTTAAAGAGTTTCTATTGAGTGAAGATATCTCGTACTCGGTGAAGTTTATCATGATGAGGGGTTTGTCATCTCACCTTGATCAGGTGGTTGTCTGTGCGATTGATCATGAGGAGGTGTTTATCACCTTACCTTGATGAGGTCTTTGTGGGTGTATTTGATCATGATCAGTGTTTGCTACTCACCTTGATCAGGTCGTTAACGGAGTAGTTGATCATGGTGAGATGTTTGTCATCTCACCTTGATCAGGTCGTTATCGGAGTAGTTGATCATGGTGAGATGCTCATCGGGCAGAAGGTGGCCGCTAGACTCGGGCGCGATGTGACAGGAGCTGAAGTTGGTCCAGGTCCTGTTGTGCTCTCCGTGAAAGAACCAAGTGCCATCTGGCATGCATTGCTTCTGCATCTGGTTCTGAGAAACACAATATCGGAACGTGAAGATAGTTTCAATTGACGCACCGTGAATAGTCGCCAGTAAAATAGCAGAGTGTTTTGACATGTAGCATGTATGCATCCAATCGTGAAATGCAACTATACGGTTGCAACGCGAATTAAAACTGCATTCAGCACTTAGGCACGAACAAGTTTGTGATCGTGTTTGTAGATGTTAGCAATTCATCGAATCATCTATTGATACGACGGAGTTTAGTGTGGGGCATTTCAGTACTCATGTTTCGAAATAACTATTCAAACTGAGGGTTCCGCGTGTTTTTTCTTCACAAACATGCAATACAGCCTTAATTAACTTGCACATAAATGCACGGTATGCATGTTTTGAAGACATTTCCTGTGTTCAAACTATCATAATGCCCAGTTGTGGTCGCCTTCCTAGTGGGATAGTGCTGTGATGAAAACAGCTATTTTGATGTCACCTTTCATGAATCCTCACTACCGTACTAACGTACCGTACGGTAGTTACCGTACTAACTACCGTACTAACGCTCTTTATTGCAAAAATATGATTTGTTTTTCTCAATTATGCAAATGGATTCGGCTTCGTTCATTTTTATATTCCGTATGGTTCTTGTCGGTCTTCGGTTTGGTTTTGGTCTTCCGATAATTTAAAACTGATACCACTAATTCATACCCGCCTGATATGTATAGGTAAAAGAATTGCAGTCACGGCCAAAGGCATCAGCAATTTCAAACATGCCGTTTTGCTACCGCATTCACAAGCCACTCTGGCTATAGAGGTTTGAACAGTTTGATCAAACCACCCTATACCGCAGTGCAGAGCGCTGTTCGCTCTAAATCCACCGGTTCCTGATGAGAGGGACCGGCGGCCGTCGACGAAAACTCGCCTTTATTATGCATTGGATGGCTAACAGGTTTTGCTACTGGGAATGGAGGCCCTAGACTTTAATGTGGGCCATGTGATACAATTTCAGGAGCTCATCAGTCTTCATTATGTCCTCCCAGAGCAGCAATTTTGCGTGCCCCGAACTGTAATAAAATACACGATGGTGATGGCCCAGCTTTGTGCATAGCTCAGCACTGGCGTGGATCACCGCGCCATGGCCGCTGCTCTTATCCTGATTGATAGCAATCCGCAGAGGCAGCGCGGATGTGCGGCGGACGTCAATGTTGACGCATCGCCAAAGCCTGGATCACTGAGAAAAACCCATGAGCTTGAGACGCAGGCCTGCAGATAGGTGTACTTGCACCAAACATTCTGTTTCGATATTTGCTCCGCTCAAATTATGTCCTCCAAATGGGTAAAACTTCATTATAAATACAAATTAAGAGATATTCAAGCATCGATAGGCTTAGCTTTGGTCGTTAGATTGAAATAAAAAACATTTTGGTCTGCAGCTTTTAAGCCGACAGACTCGAAGCTGTGTTGGGAGGTGTTGGGATTCAGGACTATTATAATTGCGTGCTAGATGGAGCACGGCTATGCCAAAATTACGTGAAAACTATTCAAGAGAATTTTTGCATTCATCTTGCTAAACGGATATTAATTATGTAAGCTAAAAATACATCAACGCCGGATTCGATAGAGATTTGTTGGTCTTTTTCAGATCTCTGTGTCTGCTCTGTCTATGTCTATCTTTAGAGCTCGTCCTAAGATACACAAGCCAAAAATTGATTTTTTATGTCAGAAGACGAGCCGAGCTCAAAACGTTATCCCTTCTTTTTACAAATATATCTACTAACATCATTGAGCATCAGCTTGATTCATTCCATGGATTGCGTAACTATATGTAATACACAAATGTCTCTAAGTGCACTCTGGAGAGCAGCCTCGCCAAAAAAGGCATTAAAATTTGGTGTCTGATGGATTTTTCCCTTGGTGTAAGCCCTGTTAATGTTTTGGCAATGCCTGTGTGATGAATTCTCTTTGAAGTGTGCAATTATACCGACATTAACGTTTCAAAATGCAAATTAATAAATTGCACTGCAAAGTAATTATCATTTGGAGACGAAAACGCATTCAATGACAATATCAATCACTCATGGCATCTGTGTCTGTGCATGGACCCTCATATTGCTGCGACGTCCCATTTCCTTATTAAATGTTAACACTTATTGCTGATTAAAACACCGCCGATCTAAGGCCTGCAATGCCTTTTTATTGTCCTGAAAGGTTCCAGTTATGTCTTTCATGGCTGGAAGAATCTTTCATAGACATATTTCACGGATATTCCATTCATGTACAAATTTTATTATAAGTCGGGAAAACAACAGCATGGTTTGGTCGATGGCGAGACACTGCTTGGCGCTGGGCTATATGAAAGTGCTTTCTGAACGTTTTTCTGGAATTATCACACAATTGCATGTATTGGTGATGTCAGAACAGCTTACCCTTAAAAGCGTTTAATGAAAATCGAATTGGACAGCTTATACGCTTCATTACAATAGGACTTTCAAGACATTTGACTGACCGGGCCATCTCCAGCAGGCGTAAGCCGATTAATGAAGTTGTTTATGTAAAGTGCGACAACATGGTGGACAAATTTGGGACCATTCTCAGCTGACGCCTAAACTGGCACCAGCTGGCTCGGATTAATTGCCGTGATATTTAATTGTCGGAACATCAGAGTCTGCCGACACCCTGGCTCTAAATTATCTGCGCCGACGGCTCTCTGGGGTGACGGGCGAGGCAATCTCCCTGTAATCGGGCCCGGCTCAATTACTGTGACTTGGCGGTGCCCAGTTCCCGTTATACCTGAAGGTCGCCCAACAGTTTTATCCAGCCCTGCATTGGCATGCTATTTTAGGTATTACTATAAACATCAACACAATACATGGACGCTGAGCGACTGAATCTCACACAGAATATCAACAAGCTAGCCGTGTGTCGTAAAAAAGGTAAGCCAAATAATAAATGAACATTACCTATCATATTGACATGGTCATGTTATAAGAAAATATGGCAAATGACCGCGAAGCAGAATCTACCGTGCAATGTAAATGCCCTTGGTTGTTGAAACGGTACGAAATGTCTCGCGTACAGAATGACATCATCACTCATCAGTCATCACTCTCATTTTCATCCCAGGAAAACTATATAATCCTCCTTGCACACCCCCCTCTGATGTTGTCATCATTCATGATAACAGTTGAATTGTTCACAAGGCACAGCGGACATTTTGCGGAAGAGATGTTATCGGCCACACGCCCTCCTATCCGCTGCACTGAGGAGTCCCTGTCGGGCCGTTCTCCGCCCGTAGTCGGCCGATGGTTACGCAGGCGTAGGTCATCGGCGGGTCAGCGACTGCCGGGGGCGATAAATTTCGGCCGACCGTGTCCCTGGGCGCCCGTCAGGCCGGTCAGGGCTGATGAGTAATAACGGGCGCCGCAACTTCCAGACTCTGACCGCCGCGGGGACACCGGTGTCGGTGGTTCGACACAATGACACCAGACTACTGACACCGGACCGCGGACACCGGTGTCAGTGGTTCGACACAATGACATCAGACTACTGACACCGTTGTGACTGGTTCGACACAATGACATCGGACTAGACACCGGTGTTCGTGGCTCGGCAAATGACATCGAACCTCTGACTGCGGTGTTATTTGTTCGATCCTATGACCCCGGATCGTCGAAACGCGAAATGCATCACTAGTTGGGGACAATAGCGCCTGCACTTGCAGCCCTGTGGTGTCACCAGTGAGATATGTGACATTGGTCCAGTGACTCGGGCTGACAGTGTCACTGGTACTGACAGCGACACTGACAGGAATTATCACTGGCAATAACATCTGATTGACTGTCACCCGACGAGCGTGTCTCCACCGGTTCCAAACAGCCGTCCTCATATCTACTCGTATCCAAGGATCCGGTGGCTATCTCTGCCGACATTGGCTTGCTGTGGACTGTGGACTGTGGCTGTGGACTACAGCGAGCCACACTCGCAGCCGAGCTGGGGGCGAGACTAATGTGCTAATCTTGTTTGGCATCGGCTTTCTCAGTTGGCGCTGGCGTGAAAAATTGACACCGTCGGCGGCGCCGAGTGACCCATTCCAGCGGTCCTGCTTTTTCGGCAGTTTCCTCGAGATCCTAGCAGTCGGCAGCGGCGGACGACTGAAAGCCGAGTTCGCCCAATAGCGACTTACCAACGCCCTGCCGTTCTTCTTTAGGTGAAAACGAGCAGTTCATCAGCCTTATTGGGCTCCAAAGGAAATAAAGACCAGGCTGTTAGCTAAAGAGGATGTGGCCTAAATTACACGATAAGGTCGTTTTTCCGCGCCGACTCTTCTGATCAGCATTTGACGAGTGACGACCGTCTGAAAGCCATCTATTCGGGCACAACTGGTCCAATGCGCAGAGCTGATGACCGGGTGAGCGACGATGGGCATTTCGTGCATTTTTCCATTAGCTTAATATGCTCGGTTGCCGCTACAAATTTGAGAGGTTGTATACATGTACGTACATTGTACATATATGATACTGCACTCATGTCATTTCGGAATAAAAACTACACAAGTACATATCATACATATCAAGCCCTCGCCTATCACAGGCTCTGTTTAAGCGCTCCATTTCCCAGCTGAAGTTCGCTGGTCATGAAATATGGAGTGTAGATTTCTTATAGTTACATGGTACAGCATAAAAAGAACTATTAGCAAAACAAATGTGGACACATGGTTAAGTGGCATAAAAAGTGAACATTATTCAGTGTTTTCAATTCAAAATAAAATTCTTTTAATGAATACCACTATCAAATTTCAAAGAGATCAATCAGCGCAACAAAGGAGACCACGTTTTATGCTTGTGACTTTATTCTAACAAGCTGGGTCATGAAATTTTCAGGGTAGGTGTAAAATTGAGCAATGCGAGGGCACTGAAAGTTTCGTTGCGATCGGCCGCTTTTTACGCGAGTTATTCGCGAAAAACCGAGAGAGGGGTCCGTTCGAACCCCACCCCCCACCCCCACCCCCTGGGTATACGGGCGAGGGTTAAAGG